GTGTTAGTGTTTTAGAACATTGACATTATTCTTATGGTATATTTGTCTTAATTATCAAGCTACAGCCAGGAACCATCATATAGTGTGTGGAAACAGCCTGGCTCTGGTAAAATACCACCAACTCCACTAAAAGTCACATAAGTAACATTACACCTTGGCTGTTTACTCTGTGCAAAAAGTGAAGACTTCTGGGATGCTGTGATGGACTCTTTCTTGCACTGGGGCAGTGAATTCCTGGAGTCTTTGAGTAAGCCCTGTTTCTACCAGATTAGCTTTTTCTGGGGAGCAGGAAACTATTCTGGAAAGTAGCTTCTCTACCTGCATTTCTACTGGAGGAACCAGGGGCTAAATTTAGTCCTGGGATATATTTCTTCCCCCAAGAGAAGTTCCTAGTCAGGAGAGGTACTTTCTGAAAGTCTGAGAACTGTCGGGGCGAGGCCCGCGGTGCCGAATGTCACTCTACAGTGCAAGCATTTCACAGTGTGCCAATGTAAAATTTGGGCACACTGATACAAGTGACTCTGAATTCCTTGGGTTCTTGGTTTATAAGGAGCATTTTATCAGTAGGCCTACATGAAGAGACCAGTGAGTGAAGCTAAAGGATTAGAAAATAAGGTTTGGCATGGCATCGGCTGTGATGTGAAGCATTACTCAGGTACTTTGTACAGTATTGTGGTAAACTGTATATATATCTGCTATGTATTACCTGTAAACAGTGTTTTTTTCCAAGAGGGAGAGCAGGTGTCCCCCCCAGGCTCTTTGTACCTCTGTTCATCACTTGACTTACCTCAGGAAATATAAGGCCACAGTGAGACAGTGAGAGGAAGTCTCCACCTGGCAGACTGTTAATAAAGGTGACAGTGGGAGGGCAGGAGGGTGTCAAACCCTGCTGTCTGGAGGCACAGGACCACAAAGATTCACCATACTGCAAAGTAGTGCTGTTGATAAACACACTCCACTAGATTCACACACAGAGATGTCATGGATATTCTGTTTTCTCTGCAACAGCCAGGTGGAATATCAGTTTCCATGTACATGTATGTCCCTCTTCATGTGGAACTGTCCTTGATTCCCCCCCCCTGTAAATCACTGTCCGAGAAGCAACAGCAGTCATTTAGTATCCAGGGCTCCTGGCGCTCATTCCAAGTCTCTCCCTCAGTTTGTCTTCCGCTCAACCTCCAGCACCTCACCATGTCAATCCTTCCATAAAACCTCGAGACACTGAGGATTTTTAAAAAGTCAGCTGTTTCCATCTGTTACTTAGCAACAGATAGAAGGATTTCGGAGCCAACATGGCGACCACAGAAAACTATTTTTATCCCCATTTTTACCTCCTCCCTGTAGCTTTGACCTGAGATACATCCTAGACAGGCTGAGAGAAACGTTGCATGATGTGTGAACGTGTTTTCACTGAGTCATGCCCTGTGCATTTCGCATGCGTTTTTACAAAAGCAACAGTAGGCACATTCGCTTCAGCAACTGTTTCATTTACATATTGCATTAACTTTGGTTGGATTCATTTGCTTGATGCAGCCTCTGCAGCTTTCATGTCTGGTGGACCTCGAGTGCCTTCCTATCACATCACTGTTCTCTGGCAAGTCTCACACACAGGTCACAGGTGGGTTTCTACCGTGCAGATACTGCTGTTAATTATTGCTCTTTTTCACTGTGCATTGCAGCGCAGACCTGTACTTTGCTATTTTAGCATTTGCAATTTGTTTTAACATTTTCCCTTATCGTGTATATAAACCACAGGACAGACACTGCAAATTAGCTTTACATGTAGCTACAGCAGCTACAGTACCTGCCTCATATTGTTGTTTATATATGTCTTCTTTCTATTAAATAAACAAAATAAATAAAAGCAACCATAACTGGTAGAATAACCTCTGTATTACATTGCAGTATTATGTCACTGTTACATACATCAGTCAGTTTGAGAATGGACCCATCTTAGACCTAAATTTAACTCACCATTTTACAGTCCAAGCTAAGAAAGGAGGTTCACCCTAATGACTTCCTGCCATTGCTAATATTATGTAATCCAGTGCCAGATTTAATAACACTGACATGAGTATAGGATATCAGAAACAGTTCTGACCTGAGTGCATTGCATATCACTGTATAAACACTGTGATTCTTTTTTCTGCTTTCTCAGAGCAGAACAGTATTAGTAAGGGACAAATCCACATTAAAACATATTTATACCCACATTGTTTTTGCAAGCTATTATACATATTATTCATATTGACCACAAAAGTAGGGTCGATTGATGAAGTAAGTAACTATTTCAGCACTACATCAAGATAAAGGGCCCTTTTTATTATTTCTGTTCAACTTGCATAATTTTGTTTTTGAATATGAAGCCATATCATGTGTCAGGGCCACCTCAGCCAAGCTCAGAGCCAGTGTTGCTGTGGAGGTGCAGGTCTGGCAGACAGAAATTAAAGCTCTGCAGTGGAGTGTTACGTTACAGGATGCTTACAGCATCCATGTTGCACTGAATGAGCGCTCTGGTCCGCAGACAGTGTTTAGGAGAGGGAGTGATAACTAGTAGTGCCAGATAACAACTGGATGGACCAGTCGCTCTCTGCTGACACAGACACACAGTCGTAATCTATGTCTGCTCTTGTCATGTGATTATTGATTATTTGCATGCCTTGTTCATGAAAGAGAGACAGAGTGGAAGTGGGACAGTCCAAGGCCACAGATTTAATCTGGCTGCTGTGGTCATGTGATTAATTGGAGCCAGGGGATAGTGTAATATTTTTTGGGGGGGGTGGGGGTGTCTCAACACATTTCGACATTTTGATGGTTGCTGCTCCTGAGGGAAATATCACTCTTAAAACTATCCATTATTCTCCCTGTCGCTGTAAAGCAGTGTAACATCACAACTTTGACAGCTTTGGGCAAGTTATCCATTTATATCTGACTCTAAACATGGTGAGATAGACTCCTGGTGTGAAGTGTAAATATGCAGCATATGGCCATCAAGCACAGGAATGACAGAAGCTCTCAGCAGTTCTTATGTTTGAGCCAGTAACATGTACAAGAAGAAGTAGGCACAGGCTACTTACTGGGCATTTGAACAGTAATGTATGTTATTTCTAAGGCCTAATAGATCTATTTTGAGCATTTGGGCTAATGTAGGCCATTACCAAGTCAGTATAGCACCAGTAAATTTAGTTTACTGCCAGAGATTAAAGAGACTACTGACAGTCTGTGGAATACTGTACGTCATTCACTGTCTCCACTGTCCTTCTGGCTTGAGACCACATCACTGCTGTGGTGACCTCACCCTCCTCAGTCTCCTTCAGACCGCTGATGTGCTTGTGTATCTTTTCAACCCAAATAACTATAAATAAACATCAGAGAAGTTGGAGGAAAGGCAAGTTGAGCTGTGTTGAAATTTCTTTGGTGAAATTTCAGTTGTTTTCATAGCTGCCAATATCAAACAGTGCTGATAACAGCACTGACCTTCCCCACCAGCTGCTCACCAGCTTGCCCCACCCAACAGGAGTTACCTGCCCGTGCACTGGCTGTATGACTTTTCTCCTTTACAGTTTTGTCGTGGTGTTATTCACTCCTCATAGAGTTTATATCTAGATGTACTTTTTCCGGTGCATGGGCCATCTCAAAACGACTGTGGTTTATACACTGCAGCTCTCCCTTCCTTCATTCTGTTTATTAGTCTGAACAAATATGTAAATACAGTGACAGTGATGTGCTGTCTCATCTCATGGTGCAGTTTCATTGTAAATAAAAATGCTCTCCAGCTTCACTACCAACATGTGTAAAGGTTAATGGCCCTGCCCACGGGGCTCATACAGAAGGATTCTGTGAACGGTATTTATGGTTACATTACACTCCTCCTATAGTCCTAAAGAATACATACACTATTATGCTATACTATTATATTTGACAGATGTCATGCAGACATAAACATGCCAGCACCCAGGGACTCACTTTAACTTAGATGTTGTGCCCATCCTCCGATGTCTCCCTTGTCCTTGCAGACTCACGAAAGAGTTGTGTTTACTGGGTATTTAAATTTGATACCGAATCAATCACTGAATTAGCATCTGCCGAGACTCTGCATAAAACGAACCTCACATTACTCTGTGGCATTGTAACAAGATATAGCACACCTGCACGTTATCATAAAGTCCTGAAAACAACTGGATAACAATAAAGATGAGCAGCAACTTTACTAATCTCCTAAAAATCCCAAAGAGTATTGTGCATAATATTGTTCAGTCTTCTTACTGAAAGCAAGCAAACATCTCATGTATTTATACTGTGCTTGATAATGAAGCATAATAGTAGATACAATACACAAGATTAATTAACTGGATTGTTTTTACTGTTACTTTTGTCCTTTCATAACTTTCTTATTGCTTTGCTGGTTGACTTTCACTGAGCCACCAGAGAGATTATGTTCACCTGCCTCTTCGTTCATTCTTTTACAAATTACAAATATGGAACAGCACTAAGAAAATATTAAAATTACTAAAATTACAATTGTGAACTGTATGAAGGGGTAATCACAGTCCTAGTTATGTTTTCTGTGGACTACATTTACGCACTACAGAGGGTTTTGCAGTTTCTAAACCATATCAAGCATTAAAATTCTTCTTTTATTTGACTTTTATGATTTTCCCCAAGTGTTTATCATTTCAAAAAAATCGACCTGCCATGTGTTTTCTCCTTCCCACTTCCCCAGCCGACAACTTTTGCCCCTGCTCTTTTCTGAACTCAGTTTCATCACATCAGCTACCCTGATGTTTTAATTCTGCCTCATGGATCAATCAAAACGACGCCTGGAAATGTTAAATACTGAGATTTGACTCAGCATCAACTCGGTCCCCCCCCCCCCCCCCACCCATCCTATTATCGCTCTCTCTCTCCTCCTCCTCATCCTCCCTCTTCCTCTGTCACTCCCCGGCGCTCTCCCTCTGTCTTTTTTCCACCTCGCAGACGTTTGGGTGCCACAGCCGCTGCATCCTCTCTCTCTTTCTCTTGACTGTTTTGCTCCACAGAGACAAATAGTAGGACTTTTTAAAAACTAACTAAGAAAAAGGTTGAGAAAAGTGGCTGCTACGTGGCGAACCACAACAATGACCCGGTCCTGACTAACACTGAATGGATTATCCAATCTATTCTGAGCGTTAATGAGCTTTGAGTGTCAGCGCCGACATGGGTCGCGGCGGCGAGGCACCTTTCGTTGAGCTCCTCGGGGAACGTTTTCCCTGCCAGCAGACCTCCAGACGTGGAAATGGCGTTTTTTGGTACTGAAGATGCCACTGATGCCTGCGGAGACAGTGACAGACATCTGAATGCACGCTCACCTGTGTCGCTTTTGCGCGCGGATTCCTAGAAGTAGTAAAAGTAGCAGTGGTAAAGGTGGACAACATGAAGTACCAGAAATATATCACGGTGATGCAGATGGCCATGGGAGTGACAGCCTCCAACAAAGACTGCCTCCCTGCTAAGAGACAGCTGTGGTGAGTAAAGAAGAAGAGGTGCGCGTGTGGATGGGGAGCATGAGTTGGTGCGTGCACAAAGAGTTGCCACGGTTATGTCTCTTCTTATGTGGAGAAAAGGGGCTTTAAATGAACCTGGTAGCTTTGCTGTCATGAAGAGCTTTGCCTCGTCTGAAGTTAGAACTGGGCGGCTGCCTCGACCTGTCTTTGCCTTCAGCAGCTGTTTCATATTTACGCCGGTGATATCCACGCACAGCAGGCGTGCGTCCAGGGAGAAGAGGACGTTGCAGTGCTGTAGCTTTCTGTGTAGCCGTGCATGGTACGTGCGCGGTTTTATCAGTGCTCCGCTCGGTGGGCTCTGTTTGTTGTGATCCGCTGGTGACGGTGAGTTTCACATCACATGCTGCGGTCGGAGACACAGACAATACGGAGCAGGTGTGGCCTGTTCACAACAACAGCATAAAGCAGTTATTTCAGCTGTCTGCGCTCTCTCCGTGTCTTCCTTCCTCCTGCGTTTTAGCCATCGTTCATTTAAAGCTGAGAAGTGTGATTGTGGTTCCTTTTGTGCAATAAAACAATGTGGGCTCATCTCTCCACTCACTGCTCAGTAGCCTCAGGCAGCCTACACAGATCAGAATGCACAAGTGGCAGCTCCTGTCTTTATCCTTTCCATCCAAAGCTGGTTGTTATTTATCAGTTTATACATTTCAGCTGCAACTACTAAACTCACCCCCACTTTCTGTACTCTATGGCTTTGTTTCTCTTTTTAGTTTTTGGAAACATCTGTTGCCACCGGTTTCTCAGTTTCATTGGTTGTACTGTATTGTAGGGTTGCAACCTAGGATTATTTTCATCAATCAGCTAAACGGCCAAGTATTGAGTTTTGTCCATAAAATGTCAGAACACAGGGCACTCTGGTGAGATTTAAGGTGCTGAACATGAATAGCAGTGTTCAGACTTTGTGTCACAGACACATGCATGTGTTCCCCATTTTGGTCCCCCTGTCTTTTCTGTTATCCATCTAATGTTGATTGTCTAACTAAACAGTAGCTGTCACAGGCTCTCTCAATCCTCTCTCTGAAGGAGACATATCTTTAAAATGGCTGTTTTTATACCGTTTTTTTGTACGGGAAACAAATTCCTTGTGTGTTACATACTTTGCCCAAATAAAGGTGATTATCCTTATCCTTATTATCCTTTGAAATGCCTGTTTTTTAATAACTAACAGACTTAAATCTAAAGATATTCACTTTACAATAAAATAGACCCAATTAATTTATCAGTTGATCGTTATTTTAGTTATTAATTTACTTTTGAAGCAAAAATGTCAAACTGTTTGGACAGAAAACAAGACGTCAACTTATGATTTATAGTTTTCCTACAAACTTTACTAATTTTTGACATTTTATAGAACAAACTCGTTAATTTGTAGAGAAATAATGGCCATATTAAGTACTAATGTCCCTAGTGCCCCTGCCTTGATAGTGAGAGCCTCATTAATAAAAAATAAATAAAAAAATTAAACTACGCTCTCATTACAATTCATTTGTTCTTCTCCTGTAGTCCACATAAAGATAACATTAAGCATGAGGCAAGCCTTCCAGATTGGCTCACTTTACAGTGAGAAGACAAACACTGGCTTAGAGGTCCAAGCTTTCTGGGCAGTTCATGTTTTGAATAAATAAGTTTGCATGTAGTGACACACCTGACTGAGTCAGACGTGATCACACAGGGGAGAGGCATAGGCTCACTTCTTTTAGCTCATGCGACTGCTGTCTAATGTGTTGCAACAGATATACAGTCTGGGGTTTTGGCATGTCCCCCTTTAGAGGAGTATGGCGATATGTGTGGGGCCATCACACTGTGGTGGGGGAAGGGGCACAGCCCTTAAAACAGGATTACTGTATCATCTCTGACAGCCACTTTAATGAGGGGAAGCTGAGCCAGTGTGCTCCTGAAGTGCCTGTTTCATGGACTCATCCCATGTATACACTTGGTCTGTATTTAGTCAGTGTGAAGTCGAGTCACAGAACCAGGAGGTTTGCATGTGCACAAGTAACTTGCTTACTGTGAATACCCAGAATGAGGTAATCAGTAATGTAAAACATGGCTTAGGTTTACTAACTATGACAAACTTATATCCTGATGTGTGGCAATGGTTGAGCTAACGGAAGTATAACATAAATGCTGCAGGGACATATTTATTTTATTGTAATCCATTAATCAGTGCTCATCTATACATCTATTAATGTACAGAGCATCTTGCAAATTCTGTTACTTGTCATAGCCTTTTAATTGTAACATAATTATTTCTTTACTTTTATTTTTGCCATGCTGCTTTGAATTGCTTTGAATGTGCATGGAACCAAAACACAGAAGGAACCAGACTATGCTGTTTACACATAGCCAGGTGATTTGACCAGTTGACTGAGTAATTTTAGGAGGTTGTTTGACATAAGATGTAGCTCGTTCTTACTGACTGTTGAAGAGGACTGGGTGCAAAATGCCAGGAAGCTTTTTGTGTTTGTGCCCTAGGTTGGAATTTGTGAGTTACTGTGAAGGAGATGGTGCAGAAATAAATGATGATGGTGAAATCTAAGACAAAGACAGCATGAGCTGTGACTGTGGCAAAATTAGCCGCTACATAAAAACACAGGAGTAATATGATTAAGAACTGATTTGGGTACTGTTTGTACAGCAACATAAAAGGACAAAGAGATGTGGTGCGGTTGTTCCTTAAAGCAAACAAGGAGACAGAACTGAGGAACTCTACTCAGTCATCCATCCAACATAAGGAGCAGTTCAGAGTGTTGGCAATGCAATAAGCGAAAATATGAACTTAAGTGCATATCCTGACCATGTGCATTCAAGATGTAATACAATAACGTCACGTGCATTATCTGCAGTAACTTTAGCATTTACAGCAATTACCGTGTGCATTGTTATAATGTTCCTAAGGTAAAAAGAATGAAACTTAGTAATGTGAAAACTAACAACAATTACTCGTACACTTATCGAGTTCATTGGAGGATGTCTTTGCTACCAACTCACCTGGAATTTATTCATCTCTGTGGCATAATTGCTTCGTCTAGGTGGAAACAGTATAAAAATGGAAACTAAAAACACTAACCAAAGATTTAAACTTGCACTCTGATAATTGTCTGGTATTCAGAATAACCCATAATACTGCACAATAAACCTTTGACAAAGTTTGTACAGCTCTGCTCTGAACAGATGTCCAGTCTCTCTTAGTGGAGACTGTAAAGTTTTTTATCAGTGTATTTTCATTTAAGGCCATTTAAGATTGCAGTCTTTTTTTTTTTGTTGCTTTGAAAATGTGTAGATTTTTGTAATTTGCTTCTTATCAAGTCAAAAAATGGATTGCGGTGGAATGAGTGTGCATGTAGCAGGAGTGTGGGAGGGTGCTGATAGTTGTATAACAAATGCATTTTTTACTGTGGATTTTATGATTTTACTTTAGTGTTTACCAAGTTTTAATTTCAGATTTTGATTGTGTGATTGTACTTATCTGTTGCCTGCTGTGTAGTGTGTGCACCTGCCCAGGGACTGCAGATGGAAATTAGCTATTACTGTAGCAAGCTCTGATGTAATGCATCTGCTGTCATTGTATGACATTAATGGATTTGTATTTTAAAAACAAATGTTCCCTGATAAATAAACTTAATAATGATAAGGCCAGATTTTGTCAGCCAGTTGCAGGTGATTTTGGCTAGTTTGTAAATCCACCACATTGCAATTTTGTTTCAGGTATAGTGCTGGAGTAACTCACCATGTTAACTGAGTTATGCTTGAACTAACCCTTAATGCCGGTTTACTTGATCAAGGTGTTTATTGTAGCTGATCTGGGTGCTTTTATTATGGTCATAGTCAAAGTTCAGATGAAAACACTAACTAAAAATGATGAGATCAAAAAAATAAGAAAACATCTAATTACATACAATGCACGCGATTGTCTGTATTGTATGTAATTAGTTATGGATGATCCATAAATAATAATTATCTCGGTGATGTGTGTTTAAACAAGTCGTGGCTCTCCTTAACATGTGGGTGTATCATCCTGTATTGTGTGCCAGATGTCCTCTCTGCTCCACAGCCACAGCTCCGCGTGGCATTCTGAGTCCATCTGCTTAATGATGCATAAAGTCAGCGTCCCTTCTTCTCCTCAACACATACACACTCACGGGCAACAGCTCCTCTGTGTTGCCTGTGGTCCCTCCGCAAACATGATGTACACACACATGCAGCGACTCCTGTCCTCCCCCTCCACTCTTCCAGTTCCACTTGTGGAGGCCACGATGCATAATCTCACACAAACTGAATGATGCATGTTCATCAGATGTCATTACTTCCAGCAGAAGAGTCAAGTTTTACAAAGCAGTGAAGGCAACCTCTGAGCCACACACTGACACCGCCCCTCTGTCCTTTGTCCCTTTGCATTATGGTCTTTCTCTTCCTGTGTTCTGGCCCTTTTTCTTCCACCTTTGCCTCTCAGCATCATGCTCGGTCATGCTTTGTTCACCTTTGTTTTGCTTAAGCTTTTATTTCTTCCACCTGTGTGATTGCAGCCTTGGCAAGTGTGTAAAAGTGGAAAGTAATACAAATGACTAACATACTGGCAGGGTATAAGCTTCTTTCAAAAGGTCTAGGATTATAAGTGGAAATGTCAGTAAAGCTATTTTGGATGCGCCACTGTTGCCTGATGAGCTGTAAGATATGAAAAAGGCAAATCCTGGGATGGAAAGGTATCTCATCAGCACAATCTGTTGTTACTGGAAATGATATAAAGAGCAAATTAAGATAAAGCATAGTAAGACCTTCCTCTCAAGTTGTAAGAGACATCTTTAAAGAAGCTGATGGGTCAGGAAATCTGTTGTGGGATTATATGTGTGGTGTGTCTGTGTTTTTATGTTTGCATGTGTGTGTGACACTGGAAACCTTTGTTGTTAGGTGGAAGGATGGGGATGAGACCTGTAACACCTGCTTTTGACCCTGTAGTCCTCACCAAATAGAACCAATTCTTCAGCAAAGTGCTCTCCATTATAACACAAAGCCTCTGAGGTAACACCCATGGACCAGGCATTTTACATTATAACTACAAACTAACAAAAAGTGTTTCACTGGTTTAAATTTGTTCAAATGTTATAATTCCCATTCTTCCCTCTGAATGTTTGAAGGTTTTCTTCAGGGTTTGCTGCAGCAGCCTCCCACTGTCTGAAGCTACCTAAGAAATCCGCTTAATGTTCATGTCATGGTTGTACTGCTTTCAATCATATAACATGATCTCCCTGAACAGACATTTTGCTCAGTTATCACGGAACTGTAGAGGCTGAAATTTCCATGATGTCTGTGCACATCATGGACTTCATGCCCGAAAAGACTCAAAAGCTGAAAGTTTATCGTTGATGTTGGAAATAATATGTGGCCCTTGTACCTAGCATATCACATAATTGTCAGTCTCTTTAACATCAGAGTAAAAAAAAGAAATCTAAAGAGCTACATGGCGAATGGGCAAATCCCAACTGCTGATGAAGTTCATGTGATTATGAGTGAAGGCTCCAAAACAGCTACTAAAATGTATGCTATGTTGAGAATGTTTTGAACTGCTCTGTCCAAGGTCAAAATGTTTATTTACGTTCTTATATTGTGATGTTGGGATGTGGTCCTGCAACAAATGCCTTTTTTTTTATTAATTTGTATTTTTGATAGATGCATTGATTTTATCTATTGCAATTTTATCACGTTTTTATATCTAGATATATTTTAGATTACTTACTATTATTCCAATACTGTGTTTTAAACAATGAATCAGATGGTTTTTCTCTAGTTACAGTTTAGACATTGCTGGGAGTCTGGGATGAGGTAATTTATGAAGCTTTGCACCTCTTAAAATCCAGGGCAGGAGGGAGATTCCCTATTTTGGGCTGAAGTCTCATGCAGTATTCATGAACTTCACCTCTAACTGCAGTCAGGGGCTAATGTTTCTTGTTATTTGTTTATTTTTGTTCTGTAAGAAAATGTCTTTTTCTGTAGTTTATGCTGAAGGGACCATTTTGGATACACAGCCTATTTGTGACATTTTCTGTGCTTCTCCAGAGGCAGTGAGAAGTGAAACTAACTTCTGTCTGCGCAGCCAGTCAGACTGTATGTAATCCAGTGGCTTGCATGGCTCAGTATCTCTTCCTAAGACCTTGCTGATGATGATGATTCATCACTGATGATGAATATTTCATAGGTCAGCAGCAAGTGAGCAGTCATAGTCATAGCTCCTTCTGGTGTTTTGCATAGTTTGAATATTTGTACCCCTATGTTTATACTGCTTGTCTGGACCACACTGTAGAGCAACAACTCAGATTCTGTCTTTTTCCACATATGTGAGTAGCTCATAGTGTCTAGTGAACATACATACATATATGTTGAGTATAGTACTTTAAAACAGGATAAAAAGAGTACCTCCACTGATTTTACAGATCAAAGGTCTGCATACTGTATGTGAAAAACGTTGTGTAAAAGCTTCTGTGGATCCAGAGGGAGCTGTGCAAAATCTGATAAATATCCTCAAGTGGTGTCACTTGAGTCAGTGTCAGCTGGGTCTGAATCTGGAGGTGTGGAATTGGAAAGACGCGATGAGCTTACAAGACCCCTGTAGCCTGCTCCTCACCTCTGCATGAGGCTACTGGCTTGACGCTACGTTAGCCACTGGGTAATGTCGGTCGTGCCAGGTTTTTACAAGGAAGACAAATACAAAAGGTAAAAAGACAAAACCTTTGGTTTTGTCTAAAAACTGTCCTTTGTGAGGCCTGCAGTGTTATAGGAGTGCAATACTGAATTGATTTGTCATAGAATTTTATTTTTCCCTGAAATGACTCAAAAGTAAAACTATAGGCATCACTGAAAGACAAACACACTTCTTTTTGCAAAGAAGCACTCCTCATTCTTAGAAAAAGTGTTATTAAAAACCACAGCGCTTCATCAGCTGCTGGATATCTGAATTGAATCCCTGTGCAAAAGCAACTCTGGAATTTCAGTGATAGAAACCAGGCTCGCTAGGTTCAGTATGTGTGTCCTGGCTTGAAAGGCACTAATTACATATTAAGTGGTACTTATGTATATACATGATCAAATTACAAAAAATAACTGTAAAGCTGTTCTCTTTTTATATTAAATATGGTTTCCAGATAGCTCAAATCAACACTGTTAGCTTTGACAGTGCAGTATATGGCTTTGCGCATGTCTCTTGGTCAGTCTATCACTTAGGTCAAGACTAAAATATTTCAAGAACCGTTTTACAAAGTGCATTGAAATTTGAGAAGGTGTTCTTGATCCCCAGAGAATGAATGCTAACTACTTCTCCTGACATTTCCTCTAGCACTACTGTGCACTATAACATAAATGGTTTGAAGTAAAATATCTCAAACATTCAGTTGGTGAATTGTCATGAAATTTGACAAACATTGATGTTCTTCTTAGGATGACTTGTGAGTTTCTCACCCCTAAACTGTTCGTAAAGAGCCATCATGACATCAAGATTATAATTTGGTTTATGACTAATGTATGCAGTCTTTAAAAAAATATATTGAGAGTTATAACTTCCACTCAAAACTGTTGCCTTTTTGAGGAACTTTGGTCCTTTTTTTCTTTCACAATTGTCAGAATTAGAATAAGTAGTCATTTTTCCTGCCAATTCACCTCAAATTACTTTGGAAATGACCTCCCTTTGCAGTCTTGTACGTAAGAAGCAAGGAGATACGTAAGGAGCTTCATTGTGGCTTAATGAAAGAAGACAAGTGGATGCTCCACACATAGTCTCCATCTGCAGGCTGCCCGCTGACATTCAGCACAATTATTCACACTTGCTTGAATGCCACTGCAGCCAGCAGGAGCAGGTGTCCTTTAAAAAGTAAAGGCAGCAAGAGGAAAGTTGTGTCACTTTGATCCTCCAGGCATCTTTATGTTTCCCCACAGATACTGTATGTGTCAGTTCCTGCTAGGACTGTGGGCAATGTGGATTGCTCTTTGGAGAAAGGGAGTCATTGTGATCCTTGTGGTATTTAATGGAAATGACTGTGGTTGCATCAGATGTGTTGTGCCTGCAAGCTGTGCAACATCAGGAACATTCAAGAGTTTAAGACACACCCAGAAGTCTCTGATATGTTTCAGTTTAAGCTGTGAAACTGTCAGCTGTGTCGTTGCTGTTCAGTTACTCACCATACAGTATTGCATGTTTGCAAACTTTTATCACATCCAGCAGACTCAGGGTAACATTAACATTCATTTGAAGTTAGTTTATGCCCTTCTGAGTGTTTAGCTCCACTAGTTCCAACTCCTGAAGGAAAAATTTGGCTTTTTAAGCTCCTAGATATGGCACTAGATTCATGAACTAGTCATAACTGTGTCTGTGTGGTGCTGCTTGGGAAGATTAGAACAGGTTTATCTGAACTTCTTTGCTGAAAATGACACTGATGAGCAGTGAGACTGGATCAAAACAGGCATATTGATTAATGCAGCTTCAAGTATGTTGCTTATTATCAACCTTCTGCAGCAGTTTGTTTTTAGGACGGTAATGGGTAAAGGATTAAGGGAAACCTAGTAAACACAGTTACACTGCTATAACAATACTTGATTTCTTGTCAGTGGAAACCTTGCAGAGTTTTTACAATGGTGCGTACCATAACTTCTGGCAGAGAAAGTATGGCTGTGGCAAAACATGAGATGTAAATAAGAAATGTTAGATTTTCAGTGTTGCCTTTAATGACCTCATGTTTTTTGCCAGCAACACTCTTAAGGTTAACTTTGTATTTTTGTCTTTCTGTTGTAGGGTTACTCCACCAGATGGAGACACATCCTCTTCAGGTGCTCCTGGGTGTTCAGATGGGCATATAGGTGCTATGGGTGGCACTGGTGCTATGGCAATGCCTGTCCCCTCCACCCTCTTGTTGCCCATGAGCCAGGGTAAACCCTCTCTGCGCCGCATCAAAGGCCGCATTCACCGCAGCAAGAGCCTAGACAGCATGGACCTGCTTGACTCCAGTGTAAGGCTCACTCTCAGCTTGATCATGCCAACGTAACATGTACACACAAAAGAGGAAAAGTGAGTGCAAGATACTAAGGCCACAGGCTAACAGCTATTTTCCTTATGGGTTAATTTTCTGATTAATGTTCTTGATTAATCAATTAATTGGTTTATTTGAAAATCTGAAACAAATCCAAACCACGAGGTGATTTCTTTTAATATCCTATTCAACCAACAGTCCAAAACCAAGAAAATCCAAGATGAAACCAATAAATGTTTGATATTTTTCTTAAAAAATGACAAAATTATTATTTATCAAAAATAATTATTGTCATTTTTGTTTCTGTCTAGTTTGTGTGGTGTCTCATAACAGAGAAAGACTGAGAAGTTCTTTGGACTCACTGTCACAAAGTCTTTTTTTCTGAACCAATCAAACTTTATAGTCCTCCATTAAAAGCAACATGTGGTTATAGTTTCTAAATTACAGTTACTGTGATTTCAAGGGAGAATACATGTGACTATGACTAGTTTATTCTCATGACAAATGGTTGGGCAAGCTGCTTGGCCTTAAAAACCCTCACTAACTCTGGGATTGTCCACTGAGCTGAGAACTGTTTAGACCACTCTCTGCATCGGTCAGTTCGTGTGTGTGCTTGTGTGTGTACCTATGTGGTGGACACACAGACACACAGATGAAGCTCGCTCCTGAACAGCGCTATTGAATCTCCCCACTACTTTCTTTATGTCTTGACCCTCTGTCGACGTCTCCTTTAATAAATTTTCACAGTGTGATGTTTCCTCTTCCACCCCCATCCTTTCTGTCCATGTAGACACAGTGTGTGTGTGTGCTCATTGTGTGTTCAGTATTTTAGCAGGCCTTAATTGGGAGCTGCCTGGTGTGTCTGCACAAGGAGTCATTATTCTTCCCCTGCACAGCAGCCAGCCTGTCGTCAGGGCAGGAGTAGGGCTCGTTATGATTACGTTTCAGAGAGGCAGAGTTTTGCAGTTCAAACAAGTTAATCCATCATTCAAAAAACAGCTGAAGGTGGACAGAGGAAGTCGCAGGATGGAGGTGACAGTCAGGGATGTGCTCAGAGATGACACAACATATCCTCGCCAACCCGAGTGATGAAACACACACACACACGTTTATTGACTGACATTTCCGTATTTGACTGCCGCCATGTTGTTTCCTGTCAGTTTTTAATTTTGATACAGAGGCAAAATTATCACATAGATTTTTAAAACAATCTTGAGTGTTTTGCTACATAATACTAGAGTTGTTTCATGGCTGAAGTGTGAGCAGAGATGGGTTGGTCAGCTGTGCAGGCTGATGGTGTTATATGTTTATTGTTGACGTCCTAGTTAAAGGTGGTGTTGTAATGGACTACATTATATTGAGAGGTGTTCCTAATATTCTGACCTTCTCATGTAGAGAAGGGAGTACTTTTACTTTTGATACTTAAAACACATTTTGCATTTTCCATATTTATGTATTTTTACTGGAATAAAACTATAAATGCAGAACTTTCACTTGTAACTACAGCTGAAATGATTGATCAAGTAGTCAATCAACTGGAAAATAACAAATAAAAACTGGCAACTATTATGATAATCAATTCATCATTCATTCACCATTTTTTTTCAAACAAAAATCTTGAGGAAAATGTCAGATATCTTCAGACTTTCAAAAAGAGAAGATTTGCTGCATGTCCTTGTCATTACAAACTGAATTTCTCCCACCACTAACTCCTACTAGTGCTGCTATAATAATGATGATAATAATTGTAAAACCCACATTTAAAAAGTAGAGGAAAGGTAAGATAAAGTAAAAGGCCATGGTTAATGTTCATCTTGACATTCCTCTGTGTACTTTAGATTATACTTTGGGCTGTGGGCTCATGTCTGCTTTTAGGGACAACAACTGATGAAGCTTCTCTTTAATTGCATTTGCCATTAACAGATTTATAGACTTAAGCTTTCAGGCACCTTATGGCTTTGATTTTGAGTGGGGTGACTCATTTGCTGTTTAATGTCATGGAGCCCTCTGTTTAATGACATGCTCGTGGCCCCTCATGTTCGCTCACCCCACGGCACTATGCATCTGTAATGTCAGGCAGGAAGGGCAGGTAGGGTCAGTGCTCACTAGATAGATAAAGCAATGATCTGTGACGTCCATCCACAGCAGCAGCCTGTAAGTGAGAAGGGAATATTTAACACAAGGTAATTTGGAACAGTTCACATGAAGCTACAGTAAGTTAAATGAATCAATCACTCTTGGTTTGTAGAGTGTGTTTGTGCACATGCTGTGTGTGTGAGATCTTTGGCGAAGTGACTAAAGGGATGCCTGGCTGCATATATTGCAAGAAGCATGTCTTCATATTAGTATATCTGGTGATCTGCTGTCCTTTGTGTAATATTGATTGGTCACATTAGGGAGTCTGCAGGTCAGCATTTCCTAAACAGGAGCAGCAGAAGAGTAGGACATCGGAAGGCCAAGAGGAAGCATTATGAAAGGGCAATAGCAGATAGAATGAGAAGGAGGAGAATTACAGGAGTGATGGAAGTACAGAAAACCAAACAAGAGGTGAATGATGGATGACCGATTGTCAGTCCCACCCACTGGCTGTGTAAATATGAATAATGATAAATATGGATGATGATGTGTCACCATTATGCAAAAGTGAAGCCAAAATATTGTGAATACAGCAGCTGCCATCTTGGCATTTTGCACCCAGATTCTGCATGGTAGCAACCAAGTAGTTGAGTGACATATCAGGCCGCCAATCAAAGCTGTTAAATAACATAAGAGCTAAGATAACACACAGGCATATTATATTTTAGCAGCATTGAGTGTAGTGACTGCTGTTGGGTAAAAACTCTTCTTTAATCTAGTGGTCCTTGATTTGATTGCTCTGAACCGTCTACCTGATGGCAGCAGTTCAAAGAGTGAACGTCCTCTGGGTGTGAAGTGTCCTTAGTGATGTTCTGAGCTTTTTTGAGGCAGTGGGAACTGTGTAGTTCTTCAAGAGTGAGGAGAGGGCAGCCGACACTCTCCTGAGCCATATTAATGACCCTCTGGAGTGTTTTCCTCTGAGCCACTGTGCTGCTGCTATACCATACACATATACAGCATGTAAGGATGCTCTCAATGGAGCACCGATAGGAGGACACCAGCAGTCTCTGGGAGATGAGCACCCGTAGGAAGTACAGTCTCTGCTGGGCCTTTTTAAGCAGTCATCCAAAATACACCTCTTTTCAACTTACCAGAAAAATGACTGTTTGTATACATAAACACAACAAACCAAAATCACAGAAATAACCTCTAGGAAAAATGTCTGATTTGTATTTGAGATTTTAGCTTGGCTCATGTTCCTTCTGCTAACATGGGGGAGGTGGGATTTATGACCTTTACTGAAACCAGCCACCAGGGGTTGATTGAGTCGCAGTGGCTTCACTTCTGTGAGCTGTCATGACGTCCATATTTTATACAGTTGATGGTCCTGCTCCATCCCTATCCTATAATAAAATGTGTTATAGCTATGAAAGATGAACTGTTCTGATATTCATGCTCATTGTTTATGTGTTGATTACAATATGCAATCGTCATTTTTGCTTACAACTGCATGTAGTGATTTGAATAAATAACATTAAGAATGTACTTACCCTGTGATGTTTACTTAAGAGAGCAGTATAAATAATTGTATTGACTGAATTGGACCAGCTGACTGATAGTACTCTCTGTGGCACATTCTGCTTCCCTGTGTCCCATTAGACACCACTGTTACTACAACCAAGATGCTTTCATTTAGTCATGGTAACATGTAATTCTCTAGCACTTAAGAGTCAGAGAGTCATTCAGTGACTGACGGTGTTTCCTCATTGACCTTCAGTGGAGTTTGATGTAATTTTAGCTTTGCTTTCACATCCATTCATTTCTAGCATAAGTCTCAGTGGTGAAATGCTTTACTCTGAATAATTTATCACACATAAAAGCAATTATTCCCTGTTTCATTGTACAGGGAAACACATTTCCTAACTGTGCATACGACAAAATAAACACTTTGAACTTGAACTTTGAATTACAACACCTTGTCAATGCCCTTATTTATTTATTTATTTATTGGCTGTGATTTGTGTGCTGCGAATGATGCTCTGTTGTGAACTTCCAGTCAGTGGCTCATGCAAAAGATGCACTGGATTATGAAAGAGAAAATTAGGCTAATTTATGACTTCAACATTCATCTCGTACCACGTGGCAACAGCAGCAGCAGCCTCATCTAGCGAAATGGGATGGGGTCTCCCTCTCCTCTGTTTCCATAGCAACCCAATTACTTTTCTCTGGATGTGAGAGGTTGGGGTGATAATGCACACAGGTCACGGTAGTGTGAATGGGCAGTTGTCATGTTGAGAGGGTGCACAGAGAAAACCAACTATAGTGTGCAGTTATGTCAAAAGATTTTCTTTTTATTTTAGTGAATCTGTTGGTGAAGAGTATTTGGTTTTGTTGCTTTAGAACAGAACTTCATTTCTGCTTCTCCTTTAGATCTCTAGACCTAAACCACTAGCTGTCTTTGCATCTAGGGTGACTGTTATATAATGCTGAATATCTGCCATTTAGCCACCATATAATGGGCAGATGTTTTGGGCTGCAGGTATTGATTATTTTCATTATTGATAAATCAGCAGATCATTATTTTTTAAATTATGCAATTAATTGTTTTGTTCACAGATTCACTGTCAGTGAGGCATCTACAGATGTGTAGAAAAGAATCAACACGAAGTGTCATACTAAGGTGTTGGGCTACCATGTTCCTCCAGAACAGCTTCAGTGCACCTAGGCATTGACTCTGCAAGTCTCTGAACTTTACTGGAGGAATGAACACTGTTCTTCCAAAAGATATTGCCTCGTGTGGTGGTTTGATGATGGTGGCGAAACGTGCTGTCTAACATGTCGGTGCAGGTGTTCAGCTGGGTTGAGATCTGAGGACTGCGAAGGCCACAGTATATGATTCACAT